TGAACCAAAAATGAATGCACATTCTTCAGATCTACAAACGGGAACCAAGCATTGATTTAAAAGGATAACCGGTAAATAATGCTAGATATGTGGTGAGAAAAGTCTTATTCAAAATTCTATGAGCACTAGGCATACACAGTCCTTCAAGATTTGTTTTGTTTTTAATTAGCTAGGTCAGGGAAATTATATTCTCCTTCCTTTCCCTCCAAGGAGTTATCTTGGTCTGCAATGAATCCTTTAGTAAAATCTCTGACATTTTTACTTTAGTGCAATATGTTAATTATGAAGAAATGATCTTATAGATCAGTCAAATGTAAAGTATTGCTTATATTGGCATTAAAGCCTGATTATTAATGCAGAAGCTCATGGAAGGTAAGATTAAACTGAACAACATATTATTTCCTTTTAGTCCATAATCTGCCATTTTAAAATCATGGTTAATAGAATGCCCACAATAAAAAGATCTGTTTAAAGGAAAATGTAGAATATATTCTGCATCTCATTTATATCTTATTGTGTTAAAAAGCAGGCCAACAACTAGTCTGTGAATGTGATATGAAGAAGATGATATACTTCTTTGTTTCAAAAACCTTAGGTATGTATTCCTTTTAAACATTGCATTTCCAAAACCTTGCTATTATTTAAAATACTGGTCCCTATTTTATCAACTTACTAAATTTAAAGGATCCAAATTGAATTTAATTAAAGGATTCAAAGGAAGAGTTGCCTGCATTTTAAAAACATCCCAATTTCTATTTCCATTCTCTTGGTTCTTAGAAAATAAAAAGTAGAATTATTGTACTATGATTTGCTTATCCTAGTGTAATAAATGTCTGCTGTCTGGATGATTTCAAATCCTCTAGCTTGCTATGGTCACCGCATCCTTTTATATTTAAACAAAATTGTTCAAGGGATATGGGTGGGGGGATGGGTTAGATAGGTGATGGGGATTAAGGAGAGCACTGTGATGAGCATCAGGTGATGTATGGAAGTGTTGAATCACTATACTGTGCACCTGAAACTAATATTACACTGTATTACACTGATTGGAAATAAAAAACAAACAGGAAAACCACAAAATTGTTCAAATATCCCAACTTACGAGGGATGAAAGCCTCTTGTTAAGAGGATGGTGAGCAGCACGAAGGTTTAAGCTTCTCAGAACCTCTGGTTCTAGCCTGCTATTTCTGATCTTTTTATCTCTGCTTTCATTTCACCTCCTGAGGACACTGCCCTCTTCCATGAAGAATCAATAAGTTGGACACCAACCTGATTGTCCCCCCTTCACTTGTAAGACCCCCTTCCCCAGAGTTTCATCCAATCAAGGCTTTTTAAAAAAATTAAATTAGCCAACATATATAGTACATCACTAGTTTCAGATGTAGTGTTCAATAATTCACCAGTTGCGTATAACACCCAGTGCTCATCATCTCACGTGTTCTCCTTAATGACCATCAAGGCTTAAACTGTAGTAAATTTAAGGGAGAGTTTGGGAGAAAGGCTGGGGGGGATGTTACATTATAGCACATATAGCAAACAACTAACAATTTTTTATTGGATATCTCTATCTTTCAAACCATCTTTGCATTCTAACCACTGGGGAATTTTTACTGTTTTTCACTTCTCTTGAGCTCCAGCTTCCGGCCACATCACGACCAGTGTTATGTCCTCTGACCTCGCTCATCTCCTTCCTGATAAGGTTACCTTCCCCACTCCAAGGTCCTGTTTGCTTCTTTCACTGAACAGAACTGCGGCTCTTTATCCAGCCCCAGTTCATAAAGGCATCACTGGGCCAGGGTTAGGGGACATGAGGGTTATTTTCCAAACTAAGCTCACCCTTGCCCTCCTGGTCAGCACAGACAACACTTTCCTAGGGATGAATTCTCCAGTCATTAGCTGGTGTTTCTTATCCCTCCTACATTAGGTAGCTATTTCAGCATTGAGGACTTAGAATTTGGCTGCAAGATGAAAGCAAGCAGGGACGCCTGGGTGGCTCAGTCAATTAAGCATCTGCCTTCGGCTCATGTCATGATCCCAGAGTCCTGGGATCAAGTCCCACATCCGGCTCCCTGTTCAGCAGGGAGTCTGCTTCTCCCTCTGTCCCTCCCCCTTGCTCGTACTCTCTCTCTCAAATGAATAAATAAAATCTTTAAAAAAAAAAAAAGATGAAAGCAAGCAGTGGATAATGAGAATTTGGAAGAATTGTCAAACTTCGAACCTATCATAAGGTCCACAAATAAGGCATTCGAGGCCTGGAGAGGTTAGGAGCCTTGCTGGAGGTCATAGAGCACTTTCAAACGGAAGGTGGGTACAAGGGTCTGGTCCAAAGCTGTTTCCGTGATCTCATGAAACAACTCAATTTTTCAGAAGCCAAATAGCATTTCAGCTCTGTGTATTTAATTTCCTGCAAAGGTCCCGCAGGAAAGAATCCAGGCATATACCAGGGGAGGCAGGCAGCTACTGCACACCTAAATCATATTATCTCAGAAACTCTGGTATGTTCCCCATTCATTTTTTAGCTTTCTGTTGCCATTTACGAATAATTCTTTCATTTCTAGGCATGATGTTGATGTTATGGAGGGCAGTTTTCACATGATTTTACTAAAATCTTTGGCTGCCTCCATTAGAGATAAAATACCAAGCTGAAGCCTTCTTGTTCTGATCCACAAGAGAGGATCAGAGTTGGTTAAATTTTTATGTTACTGGTAAACCAACGGGGTGTTGGTGGGGGTAGAAAGAGAAAGAGAGGGATGGTTGTAGTGGAGAAAAAAGCAAAGGGCAAATTATTAAAATCAGTCATGTTGCCGAAATATGCCAAGAAAAAAGTATTTAACCATTATCTACTAGCAGAAATTAAATATCTTCTATAATAAATTAGGTTCCTAACAATTCTGTCTTAAATTTGCTGTACTACCTAGTTTACAAATGTTAAGAAAACATGAATAATAAACCTGAGAGTTAGATTTGAATGAAATGATTAACTGAAAGAAGCTACAAGATAAAAAAAAAGTATCCAAACCACTTCGGTTGAGGAAAAGGAAGAATGTCTCCTCAGCAGAATTCAAACATTTAGCAACAATCTTGGTTGCAAACATTTGTCCAAACAGTCAACAGGACAAAGAAAATGCTCCTGTGAGAACAGTAACCAGATCTGAGGGCTCTGGTCTTTGAAGTTTAAAATATTTCCCCAGAACTGCCACATTCTTCTCTCTCTCCTATCCCACTGGAAGATCACAAAAGTAAATTCTCGTTTGTTCCCTCTTTCTGTTATCCTGCCAAAAATACACACTCACTGATAAAGCCCACCAGTGATTCATTTCATACCATCATCCCAAGGTTTCCAGTATAAATGCCATATTAAATGACTCTCTTCTGTTTTATTAATGCCTAACAGACATTTAATAGCAATGATGGTGCCAGTGATTCTTACTGGATCATACCATTAAAGCCCAGATGTTTCTGTACGAACAGAAGCAAAGGCACCAGCCCCTGGGTTCTTTCTCTCCATTCTCCTTTCCTTAACAGTGGCTGAGCTGGGATTCATTTGGAAGCAGAAATAGCAGGCTGTAAACATTCTTTCCATATTTTCATTTACTCTATAGGTCAATTCATTTTCTGTATTCCTCCACTCATTATTGATTAAGAGAAGAAAGAAAAAGAAAAGAACAAGAAAGAGAAGACAAAAAGGGGGAAAAAGTCTAGTTAATTAAAATTTAGGTTAAGACTATCTATATTTAGGGACGCCTGGGTGGCTCAGTCTGCTAAGCATCTGCCTTCAGCTCAGGTCATGATCCCAGGGTCCTGGGGTCCAGTCGCGTGGGCTCCTTGCTCAGCAGGGAGCCTGCTTCTCTCTCTGTCTGCTGCTTCTCCTGCTTGTGTGCTGTCTCTCTGACAAATAAATAAATAAGAATGTTTAAAAAAAAGACTCTATTTTTAAATTTCTTAACATGGAGCAAACAAACGTAAATACATCCAAACAATACACATTTTAATTTCCTGGTATTTCATATGTAACTGTCCCATGCATTCCTTTCCTGAAGCCCTAGTCTTCCCCAGAGACTTCATCCAAAGCATTAGTTCATCTATCAATGAGTGCAGATGACTATGGCTGCTACTAGTCCTAGCATATGTCAGTAAACTGTTGTGCAATGAAGACACTGCTCAATTTGTGTTTTCTCTGTTGGGCTTGTCCCCAAGGGAAGCTCTAAAACCCGTATCTGTTTGAAACCCTGTAGGAAGGAGCTGGGACCTGGGCTTGCCTTGTGGAAGCACTTGAGCTTCTGGGAGCCTCTAACTTATGATGACGGCCTCCTCCAGAACTATCCATTTTGGGTCCTGATTAGAATTCCCAGTTCCTACCTAGCCCAGCCATCTGAGCCATGTGGGTAAAATGATTCTGGGTAAGTATTGCTCCTATTGCCTCTGCAGATGTTAACCCCCAAACACACCCAAGTCCCAGAGGTAAGGAAGATGACTAAATTGGCTAAAGCAACATGCAGGGAGTGAGTAAGGTAAACCATAATTCTGCACTATCCACAGGCAGGGACCTGTGGTCCCACAAGGAGATTTTCATCATCGCAGAGCAATCTTGTCATTGTTTTTGCAACTCAGTAAAGTGACAATGCTCAGAAATGGGGAGGGAATTGGGACAGAAATAGCATCAACCACCTCCCACATCTGTGTTATACCTATAATTCCCCTAGACATATAGCTCTAGGATCTCCAGAGATGTTCTCTAGCCAGAGTTCCATACTCTATAGCGCCAAAGTGAAACCCAGGAAGCTGAAGCATAGAAATATGGCAATTGTCATAGAGTATCAGTCACCAAGAACTTTTGATTTCACCTCTTTAAATAAAACTCCAATTTGCCCCTTCCTCCTTCATCCCTTTCCTGCCACTGACCTCATTCAGGAGCTCTTCACTACTCTATTATGCACTTTTAATCACCCTTTAAAATACCAGTCAGTAAAACAGGGATGAAAAAATGTGAGCACTCCTACCTCTTACTTTAGGTATTTATAGTTGGCATCTTTTCATGCTGTGTTATCAAGCAGTAGAGGGGAGGATAGGCCAGGTTTTGCCTGTTCCAACAAGGCTTCTATCACGCTGAGAGTTCACAGGTGAATCCTCTGTCTGGTGCAGTTCCATGTAGTCAGCAGAATGCCAGCCTGAGATTCACAAGACCTGGCTCTGTCTCCATTTCTGTGGCCTTAAAGTCATCATTCAGTGCCCTACGAAAGTTGTCCAAAAAACAAGATGGGTTGTCTCAGAGAGACTATTACCACAAGTCTTAGTATGTGACTGACTGCTTGCCATGTTAGCACCTCATGTTTGACATGTCCAATACTGAGCTCATGAACTTATCTTCTACTTCCATATCCAACCAGACCAGTTCCCCTTATCATGTTCCCTTGCTATGTGAAAGGCAACGCTTCTGCCTAGAAACCTGAGCATCTTCCTTGACTCTTCCTTATTCCCCACATCTAATCAGTCACTACATTCATAAATATCCTTCATGTTAGTCTCCCGTCTAAGCCCACTGCCCCTGCAGTTCAGGTTCACTGTCACTGCCTTTACAAGTCACTGAACCAGTCTCCAGATGAGTTCTTCCTGGCTTCCAGTTTTGCTCTCTCCAATCTATTCCCCACCCTCCTGCCTGGTTGAGTTTTCTGAAATAAAAATTTGATGTCACTCTTTCTTAGAACCCTTTAGCTGTTTCTCAGTGTCATAAAATCTTGACTCCTTAGCCTTAGATCTTGCCCCTATCAACTTTTCCAGACTAGTTCTCAGCTCCTCCTATCAAATCAGCAGTAGTTAACCCCATCGAGCTCCCTCAACAGGATTGACCCTGGTGCCTGTGAGCTAGCCTACTTTGCCTGTAGCTTCAGATCACTTTGTCTTTTTATTCAAGAGGAAGATCACTTTCCTCACTTTGTCTTTTTATTCAAAACTCAGCTGGAGTTTCATAGTCACCATAATGGGTTCCTTGAACTCCTTCCACTGTGGTACTAGTCTATACCTCCAAAATGGCACTGACAGCAATAATTTTGTTCACCTCCACCACAGAATGTAGGCTCCTCCTGTTGAATTTCTTATGTCCATTGCCTACATTAGTCCTATAGCATAGCAGGGTTTAACAGACATCCAATAAATGCTTATTGAATAAATTTGTTAGAAGAGTTTAATGCATGAGGGGTTTATAGTGGAGTTGAACAAGATGACCTCCAGAGTCCTTTCCAACTCTTAGCTTTTCATTTTGAATACCTTTCCATGGTTTTGAATAGCACATCCATTTATTATTCTTACCCATAACTTCAAGGCACTCCTCAACCTGAGCTTTAGACCAAAATGTCCACCTGCCTGTTATAGAACTTCAAATACTGGCTGCTGAGTGAGCATCTCAAATTCAGTATGTCCAAAATTAATTCACTTGCCTATACAACCTGATTCACCTTTCCAGTTTTCTGTATTTGTTAATGACACCATCCTCTTCTTGAGAGCCCATATTAAAAACATCCAGGATGGCACCTTTTTCCTAAACCAATCACTGCCCACTCCTGTGGATTCCCCTTTCCCAAAAACCAGTTGTTTTTGTCACTGCATTTACTTACAGTCTCCATCGAATTGCTCCTGACTCTAATTAGCATTTGTTGCACTCTGACTTTCATGATGTATTTCCATCTCTGTACCAACACTAGATCCTGGAAAGATTTCTGTATTATGGCTGTAAATCCCCCAAGTCTCAGTATAAGGTTTGCAAACAGATAGCAGGTGGTCAACAAATCTCGGTAGAATGGCTGAATGAACGTTAGGATGTTAGGTTTAAACTGCTTTGGGGGCATGGATCTTGTTATATGTTTTTTTATTTTTTTGGTCCTGCCCCCAATATAGTAAATATAGTAAAAGGCATAGGAAACAAGAAATACATATTTTTTAAAAACTGAACACTGTATTTTTTAATTTTAACTCGGAGTTGCTGCAACAACTGGCTGTAGTTTTAATAAAAAAAAAAAAAACACGCTCTAATTTTTTGTAAAAGGTTTCTTAGCCTCAGCTCCCAGCTAAAACCATCCAGGATCCTGGCTTCCCACCCCTTCCAGTGGCCTGATGTGAGGCGGGGAGGAGCAATGAACAAGCGAGGCCTGAGGAGCAAAGAGAGAGGGATGGGGGAAGTCCCGGAAGTCACTGACCAGAGCTAGCGGCCGCCGAAGCGACATCAGCTTCGGCTGCGGTCCCAACAATAACAGGCGCGCGGGCGGGGCGGGGCTGCCGGGGGCCCGAGCTTGGGGGCGGAACCCGGATTGGGGGAGGCGGGTGGGACGCTTTGCTAAGGCTGCAGGGGATTGGAGGAGAGAGATGAGGGGCGGTTGAGCTCAAGGAGTGGGCTGGGGAGCTAACGGGCCGACCGAGGAGAGAGCGTGTTGATTGGGAGGCGCGGAGGGAGACGGACCGGAGCCAACTGCGGATTGGCCGTGGCGGGCCGAGGAGGCGTGGTCAATGCGCGCCAGAGGGAGCGCGAGGGAGCGGGCGGCTGGTCTGCCTGCCAGCTAGCCGGAGCCCCGGGCGTGTGCTGCGAGTCGGGGTCGGGTTGAGGAACGCGGTGCGGGAGGCGCGTCCCCCTAGCTCCTCCGCAGCCGCCCCTCGCGGCTCGAGTACCCCACCTCCTTCCCCCTCTTCCCCTGCGTTCTGGTCTGGGGGTCTCGGGGCAGGGAGCTGAGGGAAGGAACTAAAGAGGAGGAGGCGAAAGCGGAGCGAGGGGCAGAGAGGGTCCCGGCGCGGGGCACAGCGCGCGCTGCCTTTTGCTCTCCCGCCGGAACCGCCGCCTCCTCGCCCGGGGTGCCCGCACTATGCAGGCGGACTGCCGGCCACCGCGATGGGGAGCCGGGCGGTGGTGAGAGCCGGGCGCAGCCCTCACCGTCTCCGAGTCCGGGCCGCGGCCGCCGCCCCCGCCCGGGCCGCGCTACCCCTCTCCCGCCCTCTCCCTCCCCGCTCCAACTCCTCCTCCTCCTTCCCCATGCCTCTGTTCCTCCTGCTCCTACTTATCCTGGTCCTGCTGCTCGAGGACGCCGGAGCCCAGCAAGGTGAGTGGTCCCCGGGGAGTGTGCGGGGCGCAGGGGGAACCTCTGGGATGCCCGGTCTCCGGCACGTGAGCCGAATCTGCAGATGCGCGGGGGAGGTGCGGTGCGCTTCGGTGCCTGGCCAGACCTGGCCCAGCACTCGCTGGGTTGAGTTGCAAAGGTGGGCTCCGCCTGTTGTCCCCCTGAGTTGGCGCGGTTTTACTTTTTGACAAGGCCTTTGGTTTTTCTGAAAAGAGAGAAGCGAGACCCTGCTATGAAGGCCTCCGTTTTGGTATTGGATTGTTCTGGGGAAAATCTTTGGGAGGAAAAAGAAGTTTTGGAGGTGCGACCCCTAAAGTTAGGCTACACTGATGGACAGAGTAGAAAGGCAAGATAATTACATAGCATCTTAAACCAATTAAAGGCAAGTGTTGATAATTATCTTTTGTGAAAAGTGCTCAGGTTCAAAAGCGAATGACATTGGTTCTGGTTAGCTTTGAGTCTTGGATTCTGGACATGCCCTTTATGATACCTTACTGTTATTCCTGTTGGTGGTCTGGATTGCCTGGGTCAGACAGTCTGACCCGAGGCAACGTGCTGTGTTCCCAGATGGAGCATTCCGAGTTAAAAGGGTAAGCCCTTCCAGAAAGTGACAAAACTTTTTTTCCATCCACAGTCCTTTAAATACCTCTTTCAGAATTGAGCAAAACTGTTTATTGAATAATAATCATAGTGGAAAGAGAATGCAAGGCTGATTCCTCCTCCGCCCTTTAGTACTATTTTCAGGCAGCGAACCGCAATTTTTGAATCAGTTTGGCATCAGTTATTGAACACATTTTTCCATTGCATTTCCTTCTCTATTGCAGTGAGAAGGATATGGGTTGGATTGTTACTTATTGCTGGGAAGATTTTTATTTTAAGTTGATCTCCATGTTTAAGTCCAGCTGAAATGTTGGTCTCATATGGTTTTCAGTAAAGTGTGGAATCATGGCCATAAGCCTGTCATTATGAAGACACTGAAACTTTGACAGGCATGTGGAAGTATAATCTAACAATAAAAAATATATATATTTGGCAAACTGATCTCTTTTAGCTCTAGGCACATTTCTACATAGTGTAACTTAAAAGTTAGATGCTTGGCATTCAGGTTTTTAGTTAGATCATCTTCTTAAATAAATTCTTAAACATCAGCACTTAAGTGTGAAATCCTCCCCCCCCCCCGCCCCCGTTGAAGTTTTAGACTGTATGCTTGTATTTTCCTTCTAGTAGGAGAAACAAAAAACAAGAAGGCTTACAGCACTAATTGGGACTTTGTGGCAGGCACATTTCTAAGTGATGTATGTGTATTAAGTCAGTTAATTCTAACCACACCCATCTGAGATAGTGTTATTCCATTTCAAACATAAAGGAACTGAGACACAAAACATATAAGGTATCTTGATATAGAAAGGAATGTAACTTCATAAGCAGAATACTGTTTTGCTTATTTCTAGACTGAGAGTTTTTATATCATGTTTTTAAAAAAATCTTTGAACAGTATGGAATCAGTTATATGTCTCCCCACATGAGGCAGTTGCCTTAATTTTCAGAATTTCTCGAACCTGGCTTAATTAACATGCAATATTACCTTATTTTCTTTCAAGGCTTAATTTGTTTTTAGCACAGCATTTTAACAAATATATGGTCTCTTTCACGGTTATGTCCTATATAAACAGTGTAGATTAACGCAAATAGAAATGATGGTGGTAATTTAAAAGACCTCTAATTTCTCGTTCTTTTAAGTTGATTGGGTAAGTTTTGTTAAGTCATTTAATTTCTTTGTACCTCAGTTTTCTACATCAGTGATATGAGATACATACCTATTTCATAGACTAACAAAAATGAAATGATAGTACGTAGGAGTTTTGTAAATGGAAAAGCGTAATATAGCTATAAGTGATTATCATTATTAATTTTTAGTTTATGAGGTTAATAAATAAGAACCAGTTAGGTATATATCACTGGAAACTCAGGAATTGTGTGAGATTTCAATTCTCTAATTTTTAAAAATTACATTTTTTACCCAGAGGACCTTGATGCAGTCTGTAGTGGAATTGCTTTTCAACCAGTTTTAACTAATCTAACAGACATATGCTTCGGGTTCCATTGGTATTCCCTCACATAAGCTGGAAAGAAGTCTCATTTCAAAATGAGAACCAGTGTTTTAAAACACCTGTAGAATTTAATAATGGGAGTGTCTACATATTGTAGTGTTAAGTGACAAACTGGAGTTTTTCCTTTATAAGAAATCTTAGGAAGAAGACTGAAAAGAAATAATAAAATAGTTGTCTTTTGGTGGTAGAGTTATGGGTAATTTCTGTATGCTCTTCCAAATTTTCTGCAGTTGTGAAAAAATTTTTTGTGATATTTAGGTTTTTCTTTCTTTAGCCAATCTAGGTAGAAATGCATTTAATGTATATGCTGAAGGAGAACTGTGCTTCAGGAATTTTAAAAAATCTTCAGACATCATTGTGAAGTAGCAGAAGATGTTACGCTCATTCCAGTTACAGTTGACCCTTGAATAACACAGATTTGAACTGTGCTGATCCATTTGTTATGTGCTGATTTTTTTTCCAATAAATATAATAGAAAATTTTTCAGAGATTTACAACAATTTGAAAAAACTCGCAGAACTGCATAGCCTAGAAATATTTTTATGATATAGAAAAAGTTAGGTATTATTATAAGAATATAATATATAATACCAGTAACATACAGAATACGTGTTAATTGACTGTTACCTGTAAAGCTGGTCAGTTTTCTGGTCAGCAGTAAGCTATTAGGAAAGTTTTGTGAGAGTCAAATATTATAGATGGATTTTTGACTATGCACGGGGAGTCAGCTCCCTTAACCCCTGTGTTGTTCAAGGGTCAGCTGGAATGCTATATACATAGCTATTCCTGAGCAGATTTTCTGCTGACAGAGTGATTTTTCTTTTCATTTGGCTCAGAATAAAATTTGTCATTGGTCTGAAAATTTGTCAGCCTTTCATAACAGAGATGTATTTTAACCAATATTATTTCATTTACTTAAAAATAGATTGTATTTCCTCACATTTAATTGTACTGTGATGGTGTTTTAGATACAGCTTACATTTTTATATTTTTAAGTTCTAAGTTTGATGTTGAGTTCATCTTCAAAATCTTTTTATTGTTGAAAGCATTTTTTTCTGTAACATCTGAAAAACTTAAGTTGATCAAATTTATCATGCTGATTGCATGTTTGCTACTGTAATAAATGTATTTAATAGGAAGTTGAGAGTCTACTATGAATGATTCTGTGTCCCTGATTTACATGTTGACTAGAAATTTGTGTCCCTTCATCTCAGGAGCTCAGCTTCCTAGTTCATGTCCTGGAGGGCTTGGCTACCTTCTGGGTTAGATTATTATGTGAATGTGGTAAAATATCAGGGAATTAATTTTTACAATTTATTTCTTAAGATTTTATTTATTTGTTTGACAGAGAGAGAGCACAAGCAGGGGGAGCAGAAGAGGGAGAAGCAGGCTCCCTGCTGAGTTTGATCCCAGGACCCTGGGATCATGACCTGAGCCAAAGCAGTCACTTAACCAACTGAGCCACCCAGGCGCCCCAATTTTTACAATTTATTAAGACTGACTTGTTTATGCCTATTAATATGAAATACTTGTGAAAATATTGATTTTTATTTTCTAATAAGTCTATGAAACCAGTCAAGTTCATTCTTAATCATTCAGTTTCACAATGGTGTCAGAACTGATGTGTGGGGAAAACTTGTTTTCTGTCAAATAATGCCTTTATTTGGTTGTGATGCAGGTAAATAGTTTTTCAGTAGTATTTGTGAATTGTCAGAAATGAACACATCTCCCTTATGAACATTTGTAATTATTTTTAATATCAACATTAGATTAATTTAGAATTTTCAGTTGTTTTTTCTTGGTCCGATAAAACATTAGGCCTCTTACATGTAGTTTTGGTTCAGAGGCAAAAATCAAAGCATCCTTTTTCTGCTATATTTCTGATTAATTTTTCCCAGTGAAAATTAGAAATACAACATAAATTCCACATGTGCTAATGATTAGGTTTAAAATCCACATTTTTAAAACTTGTAAATGAAAAGTTAATTGTAAAATTATAGGTCATTGATTTTAGGTATATTTCCCGGTGTTAAAAGCAAAGAGGAAATATTATTTCCCACTGGAGATGGTTAATAATTCTGTCTGAACATCTCAGCTTCATTCTAGAAGACCAACATAAAAACAAAACAAAACAAAAACCTTAAGATCGTGAAATTGGTGTAAGTGAAAGTACCAGTGCTGCCATGAAAATGACAAATGAATTAATTTCCAAAAAGAAATTATGAGTATAGTATGATGAGGAAAGGCTACATGTATATAGAGGTGGTTTTAAGTTTAGGATTATACTTTACAAAATGAACCTAGGATGTGAAAGCTCAGGTGGTAATATTGCGTGTTAATTGAATGCATGCAGATAGTTTCCATTTGAACTTCTTGATTAGTTGGAAGGATGTAGAATAATGACGTAAAATTATTGGGATTAGGAAAAGCTTCATAGAGATAGTGAAATGTGATTGTAGAAATAAGAAGTGAGACAACGTGGCAGTTTTTCTTGTGTGGCTCATGGACTCAGTTTACAACCTTACCATGGCCTTGCCACTTTATTTTTTAAATATTGTACAGATAATTATAGTTGTTCAAAACCAAAAACTTAATTGATAATTACCCACAGTTCTACCCCCTAATCTATCAACTTATGATTTTTATGTTTCTTCCTATTCTGTATTCACACACCTACATAAAAATCTTACATGGTTATAATTTTAATCGTTTGTGTTATGTTCTGTAGACATACTATGTTGAAATTAATTGTGTAGGCTGATTTAAGACAGCATACTTAAAAATACAGCAAAAAAATTCAAAATGTAAAAATTCAGCCTAAGACATTATTTATGAAGTAATTACTCCATTGTTTGGAATTGCTATTACAGT